CATATTGTTCTGTTGATTGTCTAGACATAAGAATGTGATACTAATGATGATTAACCTTAAAAGTGTCTCTTTTACATTATTTTTTGGCGAGATCAACTGAGACCTGATCCCACCCAAGGGGATATTCCTCAAAGTCTCTATGAGAGCAAACTGGAAATCAAGGATGTGTTGAAGAGTTAGCTTCTCCTACATGTCTATAGCTTTCAAAGTCTCACTGCCTCTCTCCATGTGTCTGAACAGTGGCTAGAACCATGTCTTTTCTCAAAGGTAAATGAAGAATGTTTGTCCTGTCCAAAGCTCTCAAGCAGAGCTGCAGATGGAGTGAACTGAAAGTCCAATTTCTGCCCTCTATAAAGGAAGGCTTTGAGAGGAGGTCAGTACTCTACTCTCCAGCCCTATGATTAGAAGACAGAGGAGCCTGAGGGAAATGGGAAGGTGTCTGAGTATCCAAGACTTGAGTTGATCACATGGAGAAGGAACAAGATTCCCTACCCTGTCCCCATCCATACCCCTTGTTGCCCTGGATTTGGATCCTAACTTTGCTACTTAATTAGCTATGTGACCCTAGGAAACTTTACTTAACCTCTCAAGGCTCAGTTTACTCATTTGTTGTAAACAAGGGAGTTTTGACTAGAGGAGATCTAAGGTTTCTTCTAGCGCTAACTCTGTGTAGTTATACATATTGTTACTATTGTTACTATTTTTACTGAGTTCTTGTGTTCTAATCTGAGGCCAGAATCAGATTTCTGTAGTTCTGACAACTATTCTATGTGAGAAGTAGAATTTATTTTCTTATAAAGTCAGATTGTGAAATTCATTCCTTATGTTTAGCTTACTTGTTGGCGACATATCTAGATAATAAGTTGTTATACGAATACCATATTTTCTTTTATCCATTAATGACCAGTGCATCAATTGAGTTGAAACACTTGAGTTTGCTCCAGAAGAGAGGTTTTATCTATTTCAGTAGCTGCTTTTCCCTTTCTGTTTTGTGGTCTTATTAACAAGAAATTGAAATATAATTTTTACAACAATTTATTTCAATTGTAGTAGTAATTTTAGAACCAGTTACTTGTTTGGGGATTCAAACCACCCTAAATTTTATGAATCTCTATAGTTTCATAGTAATTCTATTTATGTGCCATAGCCAACTCACATTAAGATGTTTTGGATTCTTAGTCACAATAGACAGAGTTGATAATGTAAATATGTTTTAAAACTCTACCCTTCCCCTACAGTGAATTCATGTAATTCATATGATTTTGAGCAGTATGTATTATAATTAAAAACCCAATACTCATTGTCTGAAGCAGAGAAGATTGAATTCATAAATTGGGCTTTCATTCACACTTCTATTCCCAAAAGTGAAATTTTCATTTATTAAAAGGTTTTGCTCATTTGTTATGCAGGAAATGAAATGTTGACTCAAACTTTTGCTACAAGTGAATTGCAAGGCAGTAAATGTTGTTGATGATAATGATGAAATTTGTCTTTCAAACAACCTCCAAGGTCTAACCTCCAATTGTTACTACAAATAGTATAACAGGTAAAGCAACCCCAGCCTCTCTTCACCAAAATCAAGCTAATGCAGAGGCCAGATGACAAAAGGTGCTGTGTGTGTGTGTGTGTGTGTTTTGACAATAAGAATTGCTTTTAAATGCCAGGTATGGTAGAGGAAGGAGTGAATGAGTTCCATGGAAATGTGCCATTTTGGTAGACTAGGTTATGTGAGGAAGACAGCTTTGGGGACTAGAGAGTTAAGGGTCAATGTTTCTATGGAAGGCCATCATCTAGAACTCAAAGAGGTAGGTAGTAGTACTCAAAAGGAATAAATTATTTACTTTGGGTAAAGGTCTTGTTTTGGCAAACTTACTTGATTAGACTGCCAAAAAAAACCAAAAAACAAAAAACTTCTTTGTTCAGGGTATTAATTTATGCAACTTACTTTTTTTTTTGGCCAAGGGATCCATGACAAATTCTGGATTACATTTTTGTTTTTGTTTTTTTTGGCTAGGCAATGGGGTTAAGTGACTTGCCCAGGGTCACACAGCTAGTAAGTGTTATGTGTCTGAGGTCAGATTTGAACTCAGGTCCTCCTGAATCCAGGGCCAGTGCTCTATCCACTTGGCTGCCCCTGGATTACATTTTTGAATTATATTTTGATTATATTTTTGAAGGTCCATAATTTGCTTATAGTCCAACCTGCCATCCAGGCCACCTTGTTAACTGGTAAAGGGGGCACTAATTCCCACTTATAAACACCCCCAAAAAGTTGTCTTGTTATAGTTTTTACTGTTACCAAACACCATCTTTCAGGTTTCTCTTCTCCCCCACATATCAATGCATCCTTCTAATTCAATTCATTAGCATAGTTCTCCAAAGTTCCTCTCATATAAAAAGAATTATCCAAATGAAGAAAAGGGGTAGGTGCCATCTGAAGAAAATAATACAATACAATAAATAATACATAATAAATAATACAATAAAAAATAAGAAAAATAATATGAAGAGCTCTCTCATGAGTTTTTTTTATTATTTTAAAAGGGCATCTACAAAATGTGGGTGAAGGTACATAAGCAAGGAGGAATATAAGAGAGAAATATAAAATATTGTGGACCTAAATAAAGAATATCAGGAAAATTAAAACCTCAAATAGGCTGAGGCCTAGGAAAACTACCCCAGGTGCTATAACTTGCAATTCATTTATTTAAATGATGGCAAATGACCCACCTGTGTCTACTAGAAGACAAAGGGGAAGAGCTAGTGGAAAGGAGGGATTAAAAACTGGTTTAAATTTTTAAAATACTAGTTTATTAAGAGGAAATAGTTGAAAGGAGGGAGGTTTCTTTGTGCAATGGAGATGATGAATAAATGTTGATTTGAATTAAAATTGAAGGTCTTAGAAGAAATAGGTAGTGATAAGATCAAAATCATAGGTAGAGTGATTAGCTTTGGAAAGGAAGAGTTTCTTCATCTCTAAAATGGGGACAGGACAGGAGGATATTAACACCTCCAGCACTTGCCTCCCAGATTTGTTGTGAGGATCAAATGAGATAATGTGTGGGAAGTAATTTATAAAACTAAACGTATTATCTAAATGTCATTTCATTAATAATAATAATAGCTGGCATTTATATTATACTTTAAGGTTTGCAAAGAACTTTACAAATGTCTCATTTAATCCTGACAACAACTCTGGGAGGAAGATGCTATAATCGGCCTCATTTTAAGTGAGGAAACTGAGGCAGACACAAGTTAAGTGACTTGCTCAGGGTCTCACAGCTAGTAAATATCTGAAGCTGGATTTGAAAACAGGTTTTCCTGATACCGGGTCCAGTGCTGTATGCATTGCACCACTTACTACTTTGTCATTGATGCCATCGTCGTCGTCCTAGTCTTCATAGTCGTTGTTGTTATTAGGTAGGGGAATCTCTGTGAGGGATTTTTGGAAGCACATGGATGACACTGGCATAGGACGAGATGTGAACATGTTGCATCCGTACCATTAGAAGGAATAACCACAATAACGAGATTGCATATCCACTGGGGTATTGAAGCATTATTGTGAGGTGAGGAACTTAGTTCCCAAGAAGATAAGGTAACCACGCAAGCCTATTGCGAATATCAGATATCCATAGATACTGAGTTTGAAGGAGCCTTAAAGGTTATCTAGTCCAATTCCCTAACCATGTCATGAATCCGCTCTGTAATAGCATGAAGAATCATGTGACCTCATGAATGTCAGCAGATGGGGCCAGTGACAGAGCAGCAAGAAGCCCCTGGATCAGGCAGGAGCTGGAGATGACAAAAGGAAAAAAAAACCTCATTGTGGAGGAATAAATTCAGACCTTGCCTTTAACAGGTACTGTGAGTTACATGGACAGTGCAGGTGTAAGGAACAGGAATCGTCTACATAGCAATCAATCCCTCATTCTTTCCCCTTGCAAGAAGAACTTAACCCTATGTATTATAAATCTGGAGAACTATATAGGCCCTGGGAAAAGGGGGTAGGATTCATTAAGCAAATGGGTTGCTTTACTTTCTAGAAGCCCAGGTGCTTCTATCTTGGAGGTGGGGGCCTCGACTCCAGAGTAGTAGGATATGCTTAGAAAACTGCATAGATTCATAGGGGAGTTAGCTCACAGGAGAGGAAAGGGGAGTTATTTTGATTGGTTATTGTTTCAGGCATCTATTTTTATCTTTGTTTGTCAGATTGAAGGTCCTGTGTTTAATGCTTACCTTAATGCTTACATGGAAACTAAGAATTCTTTTCCCTTTTTGTTGTGGAGACCTAGATGTAAGCCAAATTCTGATATTTTTGCAGTAACCCTTGGGTGGCCAAAATGTACCATTGATGTTCCATAGAGGAAACCTAGGATAAGGGTACAAGCCAAAAGAGAGATTTTAGCATGAAATCTTAAGATTGAACTTATTCCAAGTAAATAAACCAGGTAGAATTAATTAGTGATCATTTTCATAGAGGATGAACAATATAGTGCTTGCTGATGGTCACTAAAATATTTTCCTTACTGTCTTGTCTCTCAGGTCTCTAAACAAACTAACAGTCCTTCAGCATCCTGGAAACTGTCTCTATAGCAGTTTTCTAGTACTCTCAAAACACAGTCACTTCTGGAAAATGTGCTTTTGGTGTTTCCTGTCCCTGTTCTTTCAAAAATGATATTAAGTATTAGCAAGGAATCAACTCTAGCTCCTAGAACATGTAACCTATAGCACTCAACATAATCCTTTTCTAATCACATAAGCATTCTTTTCTGCATAATAACAAGCAATATAAGCAGTACTCCACTAAACAGTTTCCCACATATATTCTACTTGTTCCATTTTATTTATGATTTTAGACAAATAATATCAACCACTGAAAAATTAGTTAACTTAATAGTCATCATTTTTTTTCAAACAGAAAAAGTCTCTGGTCAATGAGAAAGAAAATGCCTTTACTAGTTTCTTAGCTCAAAACTCAATATTTTTTTCTTTTTCAGGTTGGACAAGTCCAATGAAAGTTATTCCTGCTAAATCTAAAATGCGAGGCAATTTAACCACGTTAAGGTTTTCATTTGACGATTCAAAATGTAAGGTAAGACATATCCCATTTGTTTTATTGGTTATTTATTTTGCATTCTGTGGATTTGAGTGTCAACATTATATGTATGAAAAAATATGCATTTTTGTTAATTTGTTAACCATGTGAACTCATTCCTAATCAAAGAAAATATGTAGGTACCTTCATCTCTGTAGGAGAAAGTATTTTAATTATTCAATTTTAGATTCTTTTTCCTAAAATGACAATGAGTCAAGGACAAAATCAAGAATACAGTATAAAAATTCTAAATGCTACATTATGGAAGAACCTTATTTTGAGGGGAAGAGTAATCTTGTCCTGGGATTGTGCCAGTATGGAGAACTCCTGGTATATAAAATTCCCTCCTCTGAAGCATCTGTGACTGATAGCCTTAGTTTCTTAGAGGCAGATAGAATCTCCCAGTGCAAAAATTTGAACCCAGCACTCTCTTCTTTGGAAACACACTGACCACAATTAACAAATAAACTATTAAGGATAAAATATTTCCATGCCAGATTTCAGTATGCACAGTGGTTCAATGACTTCCCTTCTCCTTTGAGGTATCCAAAGTCACTTGTTTGTCCACTGGTTTCATACCCAGGTTTCTAACTGGGCAAAATAAGTCCTAATAACTGCTTAGATACCACTCAGAAAGCAGCAGCACAAAAAATCTGAAGCCTGAAACATTATCCTCCACAGCTAGGGATTAGAGCCTGACTCTTTTTTTTCACAGACAAGAAATAAGCCACACAAAAATGAGTAAGCAAAAGAGAAGGAACTTGACCATAGATAGCTATTCTGATGGTGGAGAAGATCTGGGTTCAAACACAGAAGAAAATAGTGAAGTGAAAACAGCTACTTCTACTTCAAAGACAAGAGCAAAATGATTGCAAGCCCCCAAAGAGTTTTTAGAATAGCTTTAAAAGGACTTTAAAAATCAAATAAGAGAGGTAGAAGAAGAATTGGGGAAAAATTTAAAGTAATGCAAGAAACTCAAGAAGATTATGAAAAGAAAGTTAACCATTAGAAAAAGAGATCCAAAAACTTACAGAAGAAAATAAAAAAATTAGAATTGAGCAAGCTAATGACTTCATTAGACATCAAAAATTAATAAAACAAAACAAAAAAAAATAGAAGAGAATGCCAAACATCTCATTAGAAAAACAACTGACTTGGAAAAGAGATTGAGGGAAGACAATATAAGAATTGTTGGAAATGATTAAGGAAAATTATCCTGAAGTTTTAGAACAAGAGAGTAAAATAGAAATAGGGAGAAGTAAAACGGAGCAATTATCTCATACAAATGAGGTGTGAATGGAAGAACTGTTACAGTGGAGGCAGGAGGGGGTGGAGGGTGAAAGAGGGAATAACATACACATCTAGAAGGGTATAAAAGTCTTCTTAACTTACAGAGAAATAGGAGGGTGAGGGGATAGGATAAGGAAGGGAATTTTAGAAGGATGGTTAAATTAAAGAATAAGAGAATAAGGGAAGAGGATAATGGAAGGGGATAAGGGAGGAATTCTTAGAAGGGATTTGGATTAAGAAGACAGTGATTAGAAGTCAATTAGAGGTTTAAGGAGAGATAGGGTGATAAAAGAGGGAGAGAAGGATAAAGTGATGAAAAATAGGATGGAGGGAAATGCACAACTAGTAATTATAACTTTGAATATGAATGGGATGAACTCACACATAAAATGGTAATGGATAGCAGAATGGATTAAAAACCAGAATCCGGCAATACTTGCTTACAAGAAACACATTTAAAAATGAGAGATACACAAGTAAAAATAAAGAGCTGGAGTAGAATTTATTATGCTTCAGCTTATGCAAAAAAAGCAGGGGTAGCAATTATGATTTTATACAAAATTAAAGCTAAAATAGATTTAATCGAAAGATATAAACAGAGAAACTGCATTATGATAAAAGGTACCATAGACAATGAAGTAATATCAATACTAAACCTATATGCACCAAATGCTATATTATTGAATTTTTTAAAGGAAATTCTAAATGAATTACAAAGGGAAATGGACAGCAAAACTATAATAGTGGGGAACTTCAACTTTCCCTTCTCAGAACCAGATAAATCTAACCAAAAAATAAATAAATAAGAAAGAAGTCAAGGAGATGAATTAGAATCTTAGATAAGCTAAATATGATAGATCTCTGAAGAGGGAATAGAATGGAAATGAATGGGAATAGAAAGGACTACATCTTTTTCACAGTGGTCCTTGGTACCTTTACAAAAATTAACAATATATTAGGCCATGAAAATGTTTCAGTTAAATTCAGAAAAACATAAATATTAAATGCATCCTTTTTCAGATCATAATGCAATAAAATTTATATTTAGTAAGGGACCACGGAAACAGGTTAAAAATTAATTGGAGACAAAATTAACTAATGTTAAAGAATGAGTGGGTTAAAGAAGTCACAGAAATAATAAATAATTTTATTGAAGTATCTAAAGCCAGATTTGAACCCAGGTCTTCCTGACTCCAGGCTGGGTGCTGTATCCACTGTACCACCTAGCTACCTCTGGGCATTTTAAGGAGGGAGGCTGGAGTTCCCCATTTTAGCTAGCCAATGACTAAAACGTATTGATTGAAGTATATGCTTCTTACTCTCAAAGTGTTAGATCATGGGATTTTTCCTACGGATATTGACTATTGCTTTATGTATCAGTCTTCTCTGGATCCATATAGGAATAAAGTCAATCAATTTAGAACCCATAAAATCATTGGGAACAGATCCTTAAGCTCTCTTTAAATGACATATCATTCTCTTCAGAAGTTCTCTCTAATCCTAAACTGAGTGGGAGCTCAGTCAGTGCTCCCCTACTCAGAGGGCAATATGTTTTACTGCAACTGCAGGGTCCTTCAATTATGGAGACATTTAAGAACAACTTCTCTGACACAGATATAATATGATAGACTAGAAGGCAGAGAAACTAACTAAATTCATGGAGTCTGCTTGGGACAGTATTGGAGTATTCCAGGCATTCAGTGAAAAGAAAAAAATCAATGAATTGAAAATGCAACTAAAAATACTAGAAATGCATTAAAAAAACTCAAATTATACACCAAAATGGAAATCCTTAAAATTGAAGATTAATAAAATTAAAACAAAGAAATTAAATTACTAAATAAGCTGGTTTAAAAAATGAACCATTAGCTAATTTGATTAAAAAGAAGAAAAAGGAAAACTAAATTACTAGTATTAAAAATGAAAAAGGAAAACATGCAATAAATAAAAAATAATAAAGGATATTATTAAAAATGATTTTAATCAACTACATGTGAATTAAACCAACAATTTAAATGAATGAATATTTATAAAAATATAAAATACTCAAATTAATGGAACAAGAAATAGAAAACTTTAAAAATTTGATTTTAGAGGAAGAAATGAATAAACCATAAATATTCATTTATTTATTTTCTCAAAGAAAAAACTCAAGAACCAAATGGAGTTACAAGTAAATTTTATCTAAACATTCAAAGATCAATGAATTCTTCCAATATTACATGAACTTTTTGCAAAATAGCAAAAGAAGGAATCTTGCCAAATTCATATTATAACAAAGATATGGTTGTGGTACATAAACCAGGAATACTTAAAAAAGGAAAAGAAAACTATAAGACAATATCTCCTGTGAATAATGATGCAACAATTTATAAAATATCTTGGCTTGTTTATTGCTCAATTGATTGGAAATAAACTAGAATTCTTTCCAATAAAATCAGGGATTAAACAACAGTGTCTATTGTCACCATTTCAATCTGACATAGTGCTAAAAATGCTAGCTATAGAAATAAAAAAAAATTAAGGAAATAAGTATATGTAAAGAAGAGACAATTATCACTTTTGCCATTTATATGATGGTATATTTAGAGTGCCTAAAGAGCCAATTAAAATTAATTGAAACAGTTAATAACTTGGGCAATCTTGCAGGATATGAATTTATACAATTATCAGGATTTCTATGTAGTACTAATAAAACACAGCAGGAAAGGTAGAGAAATTCCATTTAAAATAACTATAGAATATATCAAATACTTAGAAGTCTACCTACCAATATACATCTAAGAACTATATACATACAAGTATAAACTACTGTTTATATATCCTAATCTATATCTTGCCACTGGACCCAGATGGCTCTGGAGGAGAGAGTGAGGCTGTGACTTTGCACAGCCTTCCCTTACTTAAATCCAATTCACTTGCAAGTCATGGAATCACCTCCTTGATGTCATGGTCCTCTTCAATAACAAAGGACAAACAACTGTTTATAGAAATAAACACAGACCTAAATAATTGGAGAAATATTCACTTCCCATGGTTAAGATGAGTCAATACAACAAAAATGACAATATTACATAAAATAATTTAATGCCATACCAATCAAACTACCAAATGATTATTTTTTCTTTTGAGATTTAAAAAAAACATCCTCTTTAAAGATATTATTGTTTCTTAAGTTATTTTTGCTTAAGTTATTTTAAGGAAACTATTTCCATAGGTTCTCTTCTCTTCACCCTTAAATTCCCCTCTCCATTCCCAATTAATAATGGTCAAAGGAAACAGGAAGTCTTTAGAAGAAATCAAAGCTATCAAGTCAGGTGAAATCACTACCAATTCCAGAAGTGCAAATCAAGACAACTTGGAGGTACCACCTCATACCCACCGGACTGGCCAATGTGACAGAAAAGGAAAATGACAAATGCTGGAGGTGATATGGAAATATAGGGGCACCAATGCATTGCTGATGAAGCTCTGAACTGGTCCAGCCATTCCAGAGAACAACTTAGATGCGTGCCCAAAGGGTATACTCTTTCACCAAGCAATACCACTAACTAGGTCTGTACCACAAAGAGATCAAAGGGAAAGGAAAAAGACCCACATGTACAAAAACATTCATAGCAGTTCCCCCTGTGATGGCAAAGAATTGCAAATTCAGGGGATACCTATCAATTGTGGAATGGCCAAACAAGCAATGGTACATGATTGCAATGTAACACCACTGTGCCATAAGAAATGAGCAGGGCAGTTTCAGAAAAACCCGGGAAGACATAAGCAAACTGATAAAAAGTGAAGTGAGTAGAACCAGCAGAGCACTATACACAAAAACAGCATACTGTAATAATGGTCAACTATTAAAGACTTAACTATCCTGATTAACACAATGATCCAAAGTAATTCCAAAGGACTCATGATGAAAAAACGCCATCCACCTCTGGAGGCAGAATTGATGAACTGAGTGCAAATTGGAGAATACCGTTTTTCATTTTCCTTATTCTTTGTCTCCCCAGTCCCCCCCAACATGGCTACTACAGAAATGTTTTGAGTGACTTCACATGTATAATGGGTTATCATATTGCTTGCTTTCTCAGTGGGTGCAGAAGGGATAGAATCTGGAACTCAAAATATATAAAAAAAAAGAATGCTACAAATAAATAGATAAATATTCTTCCATTCACCCTACCCTCTGTTTGTCATCCTTTCCCCTAGTTTCTACAGTTTACTTATTCATGCCTTTTTCATTTTCCTTTTACGTAATTTAATTCTCCCTCTTTTTTCTTTATTAGTTGATTAAAATCCTTCTTCTCTCCTTTAACTTATTGTGTTAGTTTTTAAATATTTTGTCTTTTTCTAAAAAGGATTTCTTTGTTATCTTCATTAATTCTCTTTTCTGTCTAATCTAAACTTTTATTCTTTCTTTCATGGTCTTTATAATCTTTATTTCTTCTTTAGTCTGTGTTCCTCAAAATTAAAGCTTTTTCTCTTTTGCTTCTTTAGAAAGATTTGCTAAGGCAGATTCACGTTTTACATTGTCAATCATTTCTCCTGTATAGGCTATACATTCTGCTTTGAAGATTCTTATGTCTCTCTTGTACCATTTGGGAACATCCTGCTGTGATTCCATACACTCCTGGGAATCCAAAGTTTTTGCTGCCTCATCACGTGTTGCTTCATTTTTCTTTCCCTTGTTATATTTACTCAGAGATTTCTGGGTTTGTTTAGATGCCACTTTCCCTTCTGCTTTTAATAGCTAAACTGTTGACATATCTGTGCGCACTCAACTTTTTAAACAGAATTTTCTTGTGGGATCTCAGGTAACTTCAGTCTTTTTTTCATTTGTTCCCCTATCATTCAGTTTCTGATTCCTTTTCTTTTGATGGCAGATTCCCTGAAGGTTGGAATTCAAAGGTGTCTCTGCCTCTATCCACACCACACTGAGGAATTCCCTTTTCACTAGCCTCAGTACCTACACCAAGTGATTTCAGCGAGTACAGAACTGGCTCCAGCTAGATCCTAGCCTCCTTTCCTCCCTGCCTGGTGTAGCACTTCACACTGGTACCCTGCTCGCCTTCTCTCTGTTCTTTAGTGCAGTGGCTGAGATGTCCCAGGCTGACCAAATTTCTGATTTCCTCTATCACCACTTCCTCTGTCACAATTAATCACCAGTGCTATGTTGCTACTGGATGTCCAATTTGGAAGCTGGTCTCAGTGTCACTTGGGAAAAGTCAATTTCATCCCTGCGGGCGGGCGGCAACAGCCGGGCCTCGCGTTCCCCTAGGGCAGATGACTCCGGGGTGAATCCCCTAGGGGCTCGGAGCTCCGAAAGAAGCCTCTCAGTCTCATCGCCGCCCGCCCAGACGTCTGCGTGCTCGCTCCCGCCCAAAGGATTATTTTGTAGAAATAGAAAAAGTAATAAAATTTATATGCAAATAAAAAAAGGTCAAGAACCTCAAGAGAAACAAGGGAGAAGGAGGAATGAAAAAACTTTAGCAGTCCCAGATCTCAAACTATACTATAAAAGAAGTAATTCTCAAAATGATTTGTGCTGGTTAAATAATAGAAATTGTGAGATATATTAGGTGCACAACATAAAGAAGCAAATCTATCTGGTACCTTAGTATTCAATAAACAAAAAGACCAGCAACTGAAATAAGGATTCACTATTTTATAAAAACTGCTAGGAAAACTGGACAGCAATATGAAAGAAATTAAATTTAGACCAATGCCTCATGCCTAAACTAGTCTCCAAATGGAAACATTACCTAAATACAAAAGATCACATCATAAACAAATTAAAGAAACATGGAAGAAATTACTTATCAGATCTGTGGATAAAGAAAAGTTCAAGACCAAACAAGAGACAGGAAAAATTTAGAAGATAAGATGGTTAATTTTGATTGCACAAAATTTTATTTTTTGCATAAACAAATTTAATAAAGCTAAGATTCAAAGGGAAACAACTGGGGAAAAATTTTGCAGCAAATATCCCTGATAAAGTTTTCTTTTCCAAGCTATGTAGAGTGTTCCAAAAGTCTTAGTATATTTTTAAATTAAAATATAAACCTTCTGTTTGGCTTCTAAAGGCCTTTTTCTTAGCCCGGCCCTATCCTATCTAGTCTTCTCAAATCTGTGATTCCAAGTTACCATCCCATCTCAGCAAGGTTTCCCACAAACTAACCTCTCTATGATTTAAAAACCATATCATTTTCTACATGGATTTTTTTCTGTGTGTTTGATATGGTCCAACTCTTTGCCTTGTTTATTGTCATCGTCAGTGCCCCTTATATTTACTTACATATCACATCAGAGACTGATGTGTCCCAGTCCGGATGTGTTGTTCCCAATATCATTAATGATGAAAAGAATGTTCTAGAAATGCCAACAGATTGTTCCGTTTGTCATCAGTTTATTTTCATCCAAGTAATATGTGCTCTTGGGGCCTAGAAATGTTCCTGGGTGATCTGACTTAATTTCAAGTGAGATGTCAAGTGCTTTGCAAACTTGAAAGCTTATATGAACGTTAGCTATTTTAATAAAGCCAGTAAATGAATCTGAAAGTGTAGCAACTCACACCCAACATATTTTGATGTCATTCTTTGCTTCTTATTTCCCAAAGAGTGAAGAAGGCGGAGCTCCAGCATGGGTGAGTGAGGAACAGAAAGTAATAGAATCATTCTGCAAGTCCAGTACACAAAAGTGAGCAGTTCTTTTTTTCTGTCATAGAATTTTTGCCATATTTAAGAATCCATTCTAGTGGATAGGACACTGGACTTGGAGTCAGCAATAACTAGGCTCAAATCCTGGCTCAGACATTTACAACCAGTCAGCTCTGGCCTTCACTTTCCTCATCTGTCAAGTGAGGGGGTTCAACTTGACAGCTTCTACCTTCTCTTCCATCCCTAAGACTATATGATCCCACAAAAATCTCTATTTCTATTTCGGTAGCTGAATATTTGAGGAATATGTAAGTTGTTTCATTTTGGATTTAGAAGTTGACTTATAATACAAAGAGAAGCAGAATGGGGTCTCTAGAGAACTGGAGTTACAGGCAGGAAGACCAACTTCAAATTCAAATTCAGGTTCAAATTCCACCATAGAGTAATTAGCTATGTAATTTCAGGCTAGTCACTCAACCTCCCTGAACCTCAACTTCCTGTAAAATTGGAGTAGCTACTTCTTAGGTTCTTATAAGGATCAAATGAGGTAACATTCATAAGGTGCTTTGTAGACTTTTAAAGACAACATAAAGGCCAGCTGCTGTTCATGCTAATATAAGTGTCAAACAGTTTAGGTTTTTTTCGGTAGTGCTGGGTGACATAAAGTTTATAAATTCCTTTGCTATAATATTTCCTATTCATTTTTGGAGGCAGCTAGGTGGTGCAGTGGAACGAGCACCAACCCTGGAGTCAGGAAGATTCATCTTCCTGAGTTCAAATCCAGCCTCAGACACTTACTAGCTGTGTGACCTGGGCAAGTCACTTAACCCTGTTTGCCTCAGTTTTCTCATCTGTAAAATGAGTTGGAGAAGGAAATGAAAAATCACTGCAGTATCTTTGCCAAGGAAACCCCAAATAGGATCACAAAGAGTCATACATAACTGAAACAACTGAAAACAAAAATTTATGTTTTGGGAAATTAACAACCTGATAACAATATGAGAAATGTTTTGCTTAATTCACTGTTTTTAAATCAGAAAATAATCACTTTTATAAAATGCGGAAATGTTACTTAGCAATTTAGCATCTAGTAATATACACAAAATGATCCTAAGGAACTTCTTAAAAAAATACAACTTTAAATGTAGAAGGCTGCCTCACCATTATTGGAAATCCCATAAATTCTTTCTGAAAATAAAAGAGATTCTCAAAACTGACTCATCTCTCAAACTTAGATGTATACCTTTGTGACACTCCAACAGATTTCTTCAAGTGCAAGGTTGTCAACAAATTAAATTAGTAAATCTAACACTTCTGCATTTAAGAACTTTTTCAGTGGGGCTCAATATTTTGTGGAAACATGTTTTTAAACATGTTCAGTGAATAATGATTTGTTTAATACAGTAATATTCCTGTAATGGGTGGAAAGCCATAAGCAACCTTTAGAAAGAATTCATGGGAACAACACAATATTGAAATCTTTCTCATTGAAGAATTATCTTCCTAATATCAGGCCAAGAAATTTTTACTTTGTTTTTTCCTCAGAAGAAAAAATATTAACTTCAGAGCAAAAAAAATTTATAAATCTACAAATGTTAGCTCCTGAGGACAGAGGCTATTTAATATTTGTCTGTGTGTTCCCCATTCCAGTCACAGTGCCTGGTAGATGGTAGCACTGAAATGAATGTCATTGTTAATTGGTTAATAAGAACCTCTTTTGCTTGTTTCTTTTGTTTTGTTTTGTTTTTCTTTCTTGGTATTCCCAGGGCTGAGTACAGGGCCTGGCATATAGTAAAGTATTTAATAAATGCTTACTAACTTTACTTGAATCTTTTAAATTATATCAAAGAGGAAGCTTTATACTGTTAATAGTGTTTTCTTGAGTTGTTTTGAAGCCTTGAAAACCAGCATGGTCTAGAGTCAGAGGACCTGGGTTTGATTCCCAGCTCTCCCACTTTTTACCTCTCTGGGAATAATACCTAAATTATCTTACAGACCTGCTGTGAAGGAAAGCAGTCTCTAAACCCTAAATAGCTATATAAATTTATGCTGTTAGCAGTGTTGTAGGCCTTTCATTAGTAGAATCTTGCCCCTAGAAAAAGGTACTTGATAATATTCTGAAGCTCACTTAGAGAAAAGCTGACTTTTCAGAAACCACTACAGAAAGACGGTGCTTATTACTTTCTTACCCTTTTGTCAAAATATTTTCAAAAACTTTTTTTAACTTTAAGAAGTTTGTTGAAAACTTTACTCATAGGGCAGAGCCAAGATGGCAGAGAAAAGGCAGGGACTTGCCTGAGCTCTCCCGAATTCCTCTCTAAATAATTTAACTAATGCCTCAAAACAAATTCTGAAGCAGCAGAACCCATAAAAGGACAAAGTGCAATAATTTTCCAGCCCAAGACAATTTGGAAAGTCAGTAAGAAAGGTCTGTCCCACGGGGTAAGAGCAGAGTGCAGTCCAGGCCAAACTAGAAGTAGACCTTGGGAACAACTGAATCAGCTATAGCAGAACTGCTTCCACAGATAGTAAGAGGAGTCAGACAACTAATCAGAAGGAAAATACAGGAGTCCCTTTGCTGACACCAGGGACAGGACTGTATTGCATCACCCATACTCAGGTCCCTGTTTTAGTCTTGGGTGGGTCCCAGCACACCAGAGCGTGGGACTCTAGGGGAGCAGGGACCCTGGTCACAGTTTCCGAGCAGAAAAGAGTGCATGTGGTCACTCACAGATCAGAGCACAGGCCAGGAGAGTAGTAAACACACCTCCCCTTAGGTCATGCCACCTTAGAAGAAGTGAAAACTTACAGGTCCTAAAATTATCTCTGAAAACCCTAAATCTTAGGAATGTGCCTTTTTGATCCTAGAAGCAGAGCCCTGGTTTAGCATAGAGTCAGAAGTCAAGAAATAGCCTGGAAAAATGAACAAACAACAGAAAAAAAATTGACTATAAAAAGTTACTACCATGACAAATAAGATCAAAACACACTCAGAAGAAAACAAAGTCAAAACTGCCACATTCAAAGCCTCAAAAAAAAAAATATGAATTAGTCTCAGACCATGGACAAGCTCAAAAAGGATTTTAAAAATCAAGCAAGAGAGGTAGAGGAAAAATTGGGAAGAGAAATGAGATTGATGCAAAAAAAATCATTAAAAAAGGCCAACAACTCGATAAAAGAGGCACACACACACACACAAAAAAAAAAAAATACTGAAGAAAATAACATCTTAAAAAACAGAATAGGCCAAATGGTAAAAGAGGTACAAAAATCCAATTAAGAGAAAAATGCCTTGAAAAGCAGAATTGGCCAAATGGAAAAAGATATATGAAAATCCATTAAAGAGAAGTCCTTAAAAAGTAGAATTAACCAAATAATAAAAAAAAGGTACAAAAATCCACTGGAAAAAAAAAACCTTGAAAAGTAGAATTGGCCAAATGGAAAAGGAGGTACAAAAGCTCACTGAATAAAATAATTCCTTAACAATTAAAATTGGGCAAGTGGAAGCTAATGACTTTATGAGACATCAAGAAACAATAAAACAAAATTAAAAGAATGAAAAAACAAAAGAAAATATGAAATATCTCATTGGAAAAACAACTGACTTTGAAAATAGATTCAGGGAAGATAATTGTTAAAAAAATTATTATACTAGCTGAAAGCCATGATCAAAAAAAGAGCTTAGACATTATCTTTAAAGAAATTATCAAGGAAAACTGTCCCAATATTCTAGAACCAGAGGATAAAAGAGTGATTGAAAGAATCCACTGATCACCTCCTGAAAAAGATCCCAAAATGATAATCCCCAGGAATATTATAGCAAAATTCCAGAGCTCCCAGGTCAAGGAGAAATATTGCAAGCAGCCAGAAAAAAACAATTCAAATATCATGGAGTAATAGTCAAAATAACACAAATTTTTGCAGTGTCTGCATTAAAGGATCAGAGTGTTTGGAATATGATTTTCCAGAGAGTAAAAGAGCTAGGATTACAACCAAAAATCACCTACACAGCAAAGCTGAGTATAATCCTTCAGGTGAAAAATAGATATTCAGTGAAATAGAAGACTTCCAAGTATTCCTGATGAAAAGACCAGAGCTGAATAGAAATTTTGACTTTCAAATACAAAACTCAAGAGAAGCACAAAAGTGAACAGGAAAGGGAAATCATAAAGATTTCAATAGAATTAAACTGTTTACATTCCTACATGGGAAGATGATATTTATAACTCCTAAAACCTTGTTCATAGTTAAGACAGTAAGAAGGAGTATATATAGACAGAGGGCATGGGTTTATGTTGAATGTGATGGGACGATTATTAAAAAAATAAAATAAAATTAAGGATTAAGAAAGAAAAATGCACTGGGAGAAGGGGAAAGGAAGAGGTAGAATGGGGTAAATTATCTGACATAAAAGAGGTACAAAAGAGCTTTTACAGTGGAAGGCAAGATGGGGAAGTGGAAGAGAGGAGTGAGTGAACCTTACTCTCATCAGAATTGATTCAAAGAAGAAATAACATCCTGACTCAGTTGAGTATAGAAATCTATCTTCCCCTATAGGAATGTAGGAGGGAAAATGGATAAGAGAAGGGGAGTGTGGTAGAAGGGAGGGCAGATTGGGGTAGGAAAAAGACAAAGCAAAATACTTTTGAGGATGGACCAGAAAAAGGGAGAGAGAGAAAAGTAGGATAAACAGAGGGGAAAATAGGGTGGAGGGAAATACACAGTTAGTAATGATAACTGTGAAAAAAATTATAGCAAATTTCTCTGATAAAGACTTCATTTCTCAAATATATAGAATCAAATTTATAAAAGTAAGACTCATTCCTAAGCTGATAAATAGTCAAAGGATATGAACAGGCAGTTTTCAGACAAAGTAATCAAAGCTATCTATAAGCATATGAAAAATGCTCTAAATTAGTATTTATTAAAGAAATTCAAATCAAAATAACTCTGAGCTACCACTCCACACCCATCAAATTGGCTAATATGACAGAAGAGAAAAATGATAATTGTAGGGGACGTGGGAAAATTGAGACACTAATGCCCTGTTGGAGGAGTTGTGAACTGATTCAGCCCTTCTAGAGAGCAATTTGAAACTGTGGCTAAAGGGTTACCCTTTGACTCAGCAATACTACTACTATGTCTTTATCCCAAAGAGCTAAAAAACAAAAAGGAAAAGGACCTATAAATATAGGTCCACAAGAATATTTATGGCAGCTCTTTTAATGATGGCAAAGAATTGGAAATTGAGGGGATATCCATCAGTTGGGGAATGGCTGAACGAGTTGTGGTATATGAATGTAATGGAATACTATTGTGCTGTAAGAAATGATGAGCAAGATGCTCTCAGAAAAGCCTAGAAAGATTTACATGAACTCATGCAAGGTGAAATGAGCAAAACTAGGAGAATATTGTACTTAGTAACAGCAATATTGTACAATGATCAATTATGAATGACTTATCTATTCTTAGCAACACAATGATCCAAGACAATTCCAAAGTCCTTAAGATTAAAAATACTGTCTATCTTCAGAGAAAGAATTGATGGAGTCTGAATGCAGATCAAAGCATACTTTTTCTTTACTTTATTTTTCTTGTTTCTTTTTTTGGGGTGGGGTATCTGTTTTCTTTCACAACATAACTAACTTGGAAATATGATTGTACCTACGAGGGTGGTGTGCTTTTTTCAGGGATCAGGAAAGCAATGAGGCAAAGGAAAGTTTATAGTCTTCTCCCCCTGGGACCTGAGTTTGGAGGGGACCCTGGAAAGCAAGGAAAAGTGGTTTTCCCAAACCTAAAATAGGTTTGCTTTATCATGCCCATTTGTATTACATGTGTTGAATCCAATTGTCAACTCTTTGATCAAAAATTATCCCTATTTTGTCTGTGACAAAGAGCATATGAAGCAGTTCCACTGGATCAGATGTATCCACCAAAGCTTGACCCACCACTAACAACATTTGAAAAGAAGGCTGACCCAGTTTCACAGTGCTTTACACTGAAAAGATATGAATGGGTGCCATCAATAAGTCAGGTCAGTGAATTTTTCTCAGCAAGTTTTTTGTTGTTGTTATTCAAATACAGAACAATAAGTGTGTCCAGGGTGTAATAGCTCATCTATTTCCATGTTCACCCTGATCAAAGGAAATAGTAAATTAATTAAATGATTAGTAACATTAAAGGATGTGAAGCTAATACATTTTGTAAGCAGTGACTCAATTGTTCTAGAACTCCATGCTAAAAGCATTTAGATGTTTTTTTAATTCATTTTTTAACTTTTTAGAACATATGAAACTATTTGTTTCTAACTCAAACTATCTATAATGATTTCATCAAGTGCCTATGACTGAAGGCAAGTAAAAGAAGAGTTCTAGAATGACAAATGGGTCTTAAAACTGTTCTCAAAACTGCATTTTACAATGCTCAAGTAAGTGACCTGCATAGGTTTGATAATTCTCCGGTAAAATTTCATGTCAAGTTGGCTTTTTGGTGTTTCCTTCTTTGCCACTGGATTTTTTATTTCATTGGCATTGAGAATTATAGAGGAGAAACTCCCTCTATGAATGTAGATGGCAACTCTTTTTGATACTGTTTAATTTTAGAGAATTGCTTAGGATCCTAAAAGGTTTCGTGACTTCACCAGGATCACACATCTGGGTCGTTGTCACTGTGAGGCCAGATCTCTGACCACTATGTTTTGCTGCTACTTAAGTTAATATGACTTGTTAGAACCACTCCTCACCCCTGCCTCCATCCCAATAGAATATAAGCTCTTTGGAGACCAAAACTACTTCATTTTTATGTCTCTAACACCTGGCACAGTGCCCACACTTAGGAACTTAATGAACATTTGTCAAATTGAATTTATTTCATATACTCTAAAGACACAGCACTTCCTTGAAGCAGACCTGCATTCTTAGGGAAGCCTCAGAATAGATTCAAGCCATTTGGTTAGGGTTATCCTGGGGTCACCCCTCAAACTGCAATTACTTGTTGCAGATCCAATATTATAACCATCCTGAGCAGGGTATGCACCTTAATTCAAGGAATTTCTACTATACTACAGAGTACTGGACACAAACAAAAATTTTTTAAAATCTGTACCATTAAAAAAAAGGAACTGTCCAAATTTTTTGTTTTATGGAAATTTTATTGATCGAAATAAATGAAACACAACTAGGGCTTCAGAGTATTTTTATAACGGCACAATTTTTGTTGTGATGTCATATATACAGATTAAATCCAATTAACATTATTCACAAATTCTCCTCTGGAAGCAGAGAATGAAAAATAGGTCCTTTTTCTACCCTTGCATTGTTTAACTTATTGGTAAACAGACATTGTGGCAGGGAAGTAATTGATGGATGCATGTAAGCCTTGATCTTGACCAAAATAGGTTCCATTATTACCCCCTTTTCCACCATTGTTTGAGAACATTTATTTCTGACTGTTAAAAAAAACAAAAATTTTTTGATTCCAGTTATCATTTAAGTAAGATTCACAATATATCCTATCTCGATCATTTTCTCTAATTAGAAACAAATAGATGAGATAGGAGAAAAATGTGAGCTAAATAAATAAACCTAAACATTATCGTGTAGAAACTAAGTCAAATAAGCACAGGACATGTGGAAATATTAGAAACACTTTTGATAAACTTTCATTTGCATTATGGACTTTAATAAAGTCCAATACTCCACTATTTCTATTGTTTGCCATAAACTCTTACTGTCAAATTGTGTTGCTTAAATATGTGTCAAAAACTGGAAAATGTAAGTGATTTATCAACTCCTTTTCCCCCCACTCATTCTGAGAATTGTTTTAGTTTGTCGGAGGCCTCTGGGACAGGTTTCAAACAAGATCCTTCACGTCACCACAAAGACCAATTAATTAGTAAGTTTCACCTTTTTGTGCTTGTTGCCAGATTCAGCCATACTTTTTATTAATGACAGTCCCATTACCCATTCTATACATCAGATTATTGATAATTAATAATATTAATAATTAATAATACTTTTTTCATTCATTCAGAGTTGGGAGACATCACCTAGTAGACAGAATTCTAGGAGTGATCTCCAAGAACTGGTTCTAGCACTTTCTGACTGCTTACCATACACTTCAGTGGGAACAATAATCAAGTCCATTTCCCTTCCCTTTTTAATTTTTTAAGGTATCTTAACATAAAGCCAGGATTGAATTGAAATATGATATACCCAGAATTGAGGAACCAAGTCACTGTCCCATTTCTTCCTGGAGTTAAACAAAGGGCCTTCCTCTCTTCTATTGATATCTTAATATTTTCTTAATGGAAAAGGTTGAGTACTAGCACCGATCACTTTCAGGTGGAGAGAGGGAGATGATAATGTAAACAAGAAAAGAGTTAATACGTTTTGAGCTGAAACCTTTAATCCATCCACACCCCCCCCAAGAAAAAGCGTTTTGTCTTAGACCAATCATTCTCCTTAATTTTTAAAAAATAATATTTTATAATCATTTTCCTTTAGAAGAGGTTTTTCCCCAGGTGTCTGGGAAAGGCTTTAGAGGACAATATTTTTTCTTAGCATTTCCTTATTAATATTTTCTTAGTTTTTCTTAGTATTTCTCAGTATTTTCAGTTTTAACAAAAATGTAGTTTTAAATATGCTTTCACAGTACTATTGAGAAACACAATATACATTATAGCCTAGAAGGGAAAAATATATAGCTTCAAGGAAATATCCTCTAGCTGCCCCTAAGCTTAAAAGGGGGGGGGGTAAAAAAAAGAGAAAATAATCATACCAAAACCAAGTGCTCATTAATGTGACAAGTATCCAATTGTCATCAGTTAGGACCAGTGGGACCTGGTTTTGCAACAGGAACTTGATATGGGTGAAGGGAATCTATCCTGCAGATACATTGTCAAGTAACAGACATTCCATTCTTCCTTATTACTTTCCTGTCTATTTTGTTAACCCCTCCCCTTTCCCCTTCCTCTTACTACTCCCTCACACAGAGGTTGTTAACATTCAGTCAGAACTCAAGTTCACAGTTAAATAATTTTGACTAATTAGTAAAAAACATGATAAAATTAAGAAATATCAGACATATATATCACAGAATACAATATTCCAGTCACTTCCAAGCTCCAACTCTCAGAGCAAAATTTCCCTTTCCCTTTGAAGTCCACTTTCATTCTCTTCATATCCATTATCTTTTCCCAAAAACCCTTCCCTCTTCCTAACTTCCCTGTTACTGTGGAGGGCACCACCATCCTCGCAGTCACCCAGAATGTCAAACTAGATGTCATCCTTGACTTTTCACTCTTAATCCCCTATCCAATTAGCTGCCAAATCTTGTCCCTTCATGACATCTCTTATATATTACCCCTTTTCTCCTCAACACTGCCACCACTCTGGTGCAGTCTCTCATCTCCTCATCCCTAGATTATTGCAGTGGCCTACTGGTTGGTCTGCCTATCATAAGTCTCTCCCCATTCCTGCCGATCCTCCACTCAGCCATCAAAATGATCTTCCAAGGATAAAATATAAATTTTTCTGTTTGGTTTTTAAAACCTTTCAGACCCTGGCTCCTTTTGACCTTCCCACTGTACCACATTACTCCCTTCCACATACTTTGCAATCTATTTCTTACATGTTCCTTCCACAAGGAATTCCAAATGGTCAAAAATTAATTATCAGAGGTAGCCCTCCTGTACAGCCAGCTGGTACAGTGGATTCCACACCAGGCAGGGAGTCAGGAAGACTCATCTTCCTGAGTTCAAATCTGGCCTTAGACACTTACTAGCTGTATGACTCTGGGCAAGTCACTTAACCCTGTTTGCCTCAGTTCCTCATTTGTAAAATAAGCTGGAAAAGGAAATGGCAAACTACTCCAGTATCCATGCTAAGAAAACCCCAAATGGGGTTACAAAGAGTAGGACGTGACTGAAAAATGACTGAAACAATGAGTACTCCTATGGCCTCCTCCATACAATTTGTGCTGGTTAACAGTTCACAAGAGGTGGCTGTCTGTGTCTTACTGTGGCTGGATAAGTGTGAAGTATGTAGATAGTATGTAGATAGAAGTGAAATAGGTTATGAGTGAGGTGGGAAAGGGGATCAAGTAAAGCATTCAGAGTGGGTAAATGGAAGTAGCATTTGGGCAGATGGTAGAATATGGAGAACATGGAGCAGGGTCTTAAATTGGGAATTCAAACCAGAAGCAGAGTAAGTAAAGTACACAAGAGAAGTCACAGTGGGTCAGTGGGGAACAAGTCGTCATCAGGAGTTCCAAGGCTTGCATTAATAGGAGCAGCAGCTATGGTAGGTTGAGACAACTTGTAAAATGGTTTTCCCAAGGTGTACCAATGGAGCTCTCTTATCATGTGCTATTCATTGATGGGGCAGGGCTCCTGAAGTCTGATTCTTCCTGTTATGGTAGGTTCTGGGGATCAGGATAGGCTAGGGCTAAAGCCCTAAGAGAATCTTCAGGAACTGGTTTGGATGATAGTAGAATTTTCCCTGGACTAATTAAAGCAAATTTCCCCCCAAATCTGTTATTTCTGGGGTTAGGGAAGGGAGGGTAAAGCTGCTTAAAAATGCTAGTTTTACCTTGGGCTCTAACAGTTATTAAGTTCTTATCTCTGAATTGATTACCAGTGTTTTCTCTCTTCTTATTTCCTAGTGTGAGCCCAAGTTCTCGAACCCAATATATTCCTCTTTACACGTAAGTAAAATTTTCTGTTATTGTGCATTAAAAATGTTCAACTTAAAGCAAAATGATAGTTGGCCTTTTGCCTTGTTTATAAGTCACTGATAAAACAAGCTGAGCTTCTCTAAATGGTTTAGCACAGTGTTTGGCCCATAGTAGGCACTTAATAAATGCCAATTAGTTGACTACTCCCAAGCCCAGATAATTCACTGTAATATTATTAGCTATAGTACGTGACTTCTATGAGGCATTACGGAATTTATGAGCTGGGAAAAACTCTTGTGATCATTTTAACCAACCCTGTCATTCAGATGGGTTAACCAAGGCCCACTTTGACTAAAGGAAGAGGAGGAAGGCCACAGTGTAGCCCACAAGTTCATCTCAGAGTTCATTTCCATTCACATTCAGCACCTACTATTAGAGCTTTTCTATTTTCCTGAAACTGATCACTTCACAGAATTAGATCCAACAAATGGCTAAGGACCTATGATTTCAAAAATAGACGTTGCTCATATATGTTTGTACGGAGCTAGCATACTACCATGGAAAGAGTTCTGGGTTTGGAGTCAAAGGATCTGGCTTCAGATTCTAGCTCTGCTTCTTATTTTGTGCCCTTGGGTAAATCATTTCACCTCTCTCCTCTTCACTTCCTCATCTGTAAAATGAGGAGGTTAGACTAGACGACTTTCATACTTACTTTCATGTCTAAACTTATGATCCTAAAGGGATGCTATGGCATGAGTATGTTGGCATTTACCCTTTGGGACCATCTTAATAAATATACTATTGAACTTGGAAAGTAGTTCTACTACCCTTCCCACTTTTCTTATAAATAATTTATTTCTTTCATCCAAACAGTGGTTATGTTGAATCATCAAACCCAGATGACAGAGATGATCCTGATGGTGACCTTACATCTTTGGGCAAGCCTCGGACCTCGAGGATCCTTTACACACCTACAAGCCGGTAAGCTATGTTTATAAAATGGGCATTCATTAAAGCAGGGAATTAATGGTTAATTTAGTTACAAAAGAAGAAAAATGACTCTATTGCTGAGGAAGACATGTACATGTAGAGTACTGAATTTGGAAATTTTGGTACAGATACTGTAATCCCATTGCAATAAACAACTCTTGATGACAAAACCCCATCTGCCAATATACCTACTCTGCAAGTTATGGTCTTATGAGTCACCTGGGGGCATTGAGAGGTTAAGTGATTTGCCTAGGGACACAGAGCTTATATGGGTCAGAGATAAGTTTTGAACCCAGACCATCTGCATTCTGAATTCTCTCCATCTGCTATGCCACCCTTTCTCTTAGAATTTAGAATTAAAGGATCTGTATTCAAATCATAGCTCTATTTGGTACACATATGGCCATAGACACTTACTCTCTTGGAAACTCATTTTTATAATCTGTAAAGTGAAGAGGAGCTCTGCCAAGAGATCTCTAAAATTCTTTTAAATGTAAAATTCACAGTCTTTTATACCTGTATGAAAACTATTTTTAAAATATGACATTGCAAAAGAATGTTACTGATCAGATGAGGAAATTTGGTGAGATTAGTGCAATTTTATCTCTGTTACCAGAAAAACAATACAAAATACTATGCTGAATTATGCCCAAAAGGCTATAAAACTCTGCATACCTTTTGACCCAGGAATACCACTTCTAGGTCTGTATCCCAAAGAGATCATAAAAACGGGAAAAGGACCAACATGGACAAAAATATTTATAGCAGCTCTTTTTATGGTGGCCAAGAATTGGAAATTGAAGGGATGGCCATCAACTGGGGAATGGCTGAACAAGTTGTGGCATATGAATGCAGTGGAATACTAGTGTGCCATAAGAAATGATGAGCAGGCAGACTTCAGAAAAACCTGAAAAGACTTATATGAACTGATGCTGAGTGAAGTAAGTAGAACCTGGAGAACATTGTACAGAGTAATAGCCACATTGTACAATGATGACTTTGATAGACTTGGCTCTTCACAGCAATGCAAGGATCTAAGACAACTTCAAAAGATTCATGATGGGAAAATGCTGTCCACATCCAGAGAAAGAACTATGGAGTCTGAATGCAGATCAAAGCATACTGTTTACTCTCTTTTTTTTTTGTTTTGTTTTGTTTCTTCTTTCTCATGGTTCCTCCCATTGGTTCTAATTCTTCTATACAACATGATTAATGTGAAAATATGTTTAATATGAATGTATATGTAGAGCCTATATCAGATTGCATGCCATCTTGGGGAGGGGGGAGAGGAAGGAGGTAGTGAGAGAAAATTTAAAACTCAAAAGCTTATGGAAATGAATGTTGAAAACTAAAAATAAATTAGTTTTAAAAAAAGAATGGTGTCAATAATGACATTTTTGCATTTGAAGAACAAAAGTCTTGGCTAGTATGGTGAAATAAATGAATGAAATCTAGACAAGGCCCTATAATAATCATTAGAACATAAAAACTTGCTTAAGATATCACCCTTTATGTCTAAATCATGTACCCATTTGACCTTTTCTTTGTATTCAGTGTGAGTTATTTGTCTATATTAATTTGTGCCATATTGTTTTTCAGTTTTCCCAGCAATTTTTGTCATGTAGTAAGTTTTTGTCCCAATGGCTTGTATCTTCGCATTTATCAAACACTAGATTACTATGGTCATTTGCTCCTGTTTATAGTGTACCTAATCTTTTCCACTGATCCACCATTCTATTTCTTAGCCAGTACCAGATTGTTTTGATAGTTACCACTTTATAATATAGTTTGAGATCTGGTACTGCCAAGCCACCATCCTTCACATTTTTTTTCATTGATTACTTTGATATTCTTGACCTTTTGTTCTTCTAGATGAATTTTGATATTATTTTTTCTACCTCTATAAAATAATTTTTGGTAGTTTGATTGGTATGGCACTGAATAAGTAAATCCATTTACATAGAATTGTAATTTTTATTATATTGGCTCGGATTCTTATGAGCAATTAATATTTCTCCAATTGTTTAAATCTGACTTTATTTGTGTAAAAAGTGTTTTGTAATTTTGTTCCCATGGTTCCTGGATTTGTTTTGGCAGGTAGATGCCCAAGTATTTATATTGTCTATAGCTATTTTAAAATGGAATTTCTCTTTCTACCTCTTGCTACTGAATTTTGTTGGTAATATATAGAAAAGCTGATAATTTAAGTGGGTTTATTTTATATCCTGCAACTTTGCTGAAGTTGTTAGTTCTTTCAACTAGTTTTTTAGTTGACTCTCTAGGGTTCTTTAAGTATACTATCGTATCATCTGCAAAGAGGGATAGTTTTGTTTCCTCATAGCCTATTCTAATTCCTTCAATTTCCTTTACTTCTCTTATTGCTATGGCTAACATTTCAAGCAGAGTGCTGAGTAAAAGCGGTGATAATGAGCATCACTGATTCACCCCTGATCTTATTGAGAAGGCTTCTAGCTTATTCCCCAGTACAGATAATGCTTACTGATGGTTATTGATGGTACTGGGATGAACCATTTCCATTTCTGATTTGCTACAGATCTGCTACAAAATTATAACCTACTTAGTATTTATATGCTTTATACTAATGATTATTAGTACTATTAGACTATTACAATAGTGCCTTAATTAGTCTCCCTGTCTCAAGTCCCTCCCTACTCTACACCATTTTTCCTAAAGTCACCTGTGATTTCACTTAATTGAAGATTCAGCCATTCACTCTCCTTACTCAACAAACTCCAGTGACTTCCTACTGCCTGTAGGAGAAAATAGAAATCCCTCCATTTGGGTTTTCCTGGCCCTATCTTATTTTTCCAGACTCACTATATATCTGCTCTCCTTCTTGCATCCAACAGTCCAACCAAATCCACCTTTTCTTTCTTCCTCATACACAGCACTCCATCTGCCATCTCAGCACCTTTACACTGATCATCCTCCATGCCTGGAATACATTCTCTTCTCACCTCTGCCTCAAAATTCCTCTCTTCCTTCAAGACACTGCTCAAACACCATCTTTGATGGGAAGCCCATCTGGATCTCCCAATTATTAATGCCCACTTTTCCTAACTACCTCATATTTATTTTGTATTTCTCTTTATTTACATATTCTATATATACTCACATGTGTACTTGCCTCTCCAGATAGAATGTAAGTTCCTTAAGAGTAACTTAAGGGTTAGTCCTTAAGGGTAACTTAAGGGTTACACCTTAAGAGTAAGAATTGTTTCAATTAATGCATTTGTGGCACATAGTTGGCACTTCATAAATGGTTGTTCATTGACTAATGATTATCACTGAGCATTTTGAAGCTTTGAAGAACTACAAAATAATTACTAAAGGAAAACATAACTTCCTTGAAAAAAAATTCATTCAACATATAATAAGGGTAAGGAAGGTGTCTCATGTTAGAGAAACAAATTAAAGCCATTGATAGAACACTAAAAGAGTAGTCAAAAACATGTATCTGACCATTAGCTCTAATGCTGATTTTCTACTTGACATAAATACTAAATTGGTAGGCATCTGGTGTTGTACAAAGATCTTTGTAGTTTCACCCTTTTCATTCTTGATACTAGTAATTTGGTTTTCATCTTTCTTTTTTTTTAATTAGGTTAACCAAAGGTTTATCTATTTATTGGTTTTTTTTCATAAAACCAGCTCTTAGTTTTATTTATAAGTTCAATAGTTTTCTTAATTTCAATTTTATTAATGTTTCCTTTGGTTTTCAATATTTCTAATTTGGTGTTTAATTGAGGATTTTTAATTTGTTCTTTTTCTAGTGTTTTTAGTTGTATGCCCAATTCATTGATCTCCTCTTTTTCTATTTTATTTATGTAAGCATTTAGAGATATAAAACTTCCCCTAAGAACTGCTTTTGCTGCATCCCATAAGTTTTGGTATGTTGTCTCATTATTGTCATTCTCTTGAATGAAATTATTGATTATTTCTATGATTTGTTCTTTGACTCAATCATTTTTTAGGATTAGATTATTTAGTTTCCAATTATTTTTAGTCTATCTTTTCATGGCTTTTTATTACATGTAATTTTTATTGCATCGTGATCTGAAAAGGATGCATTTATCATTTCTGCCTTTCTGCATTGGATTGTGAGGTTTTTATGCCCTAGTACATGGTCAATTTTTGTGTATGTGCCATGTACCTCTGAGAAAAAAGTATATTCCTTTATATCCCCATTCAGTTTTCTCCATAAGTCTATCATACCTAACTTTTCTAATATTCTATTCACCTCCTTAACTTCTTTCTTGTTTATTTTGTGGTTAGATTTATCTAGTTCAGAGAAGGGGAGGTTGAGGTCCTCCACTAGTATAGTTTTGCTGTCTATTTCTTCCTGTAACTCCCTGAACTTCTAAGAATCTGGATGCTATCCCATTTGGTGCATATATGTTTAGTAATGATATTACTTCATTGTCTATGGTGTCTTTTAGCAGGATGTAGTTTCCTTCCTTATCTCTTTTGATAAGATCTATTTTTGCTTTTGCTTTGTCTGAGATCAGGATTGCTACCCCTGCTTTTTTTACTTCAGCTGAAGCATAATATATTTTGTTCCAGCCTTTTATCTTTACCCTGCATGTGTCACTCTTTTTCAAATGTGTTTCCTGTAAACAACATATTGTAGGATTATGGTTTTTAATCCAATCTGCTATTTAATGCTATTTAATCCAATCTGCTTCCGTTTTATGGGAGAGTTCATCCCATTCACATTCACAGTTATGATTACGGTCTGTCTTTTTCTCCATCCTTTTCATCCCCCTGTTTATGCTTTTCTTTCTTCTTTCTCCTTTCCCCCCCCAACTAGTGTTTTGTTTTTGACCAGCGCCTCCTACGGTCCCATCTCCCTTCTATTATCCCTCTCCCTTTTCTTCCCCTTTACCCTTATTGCTTCTTCCCTCCCTTCTATCCCCCCTCCCTTTTCTTTCCCCTTTTGCCTCCTGCTGCCTGTAGTGCAAGTTAGATTT